ACCTGTATGTTTTTCACTGTAGAATGGCATAGACGTCATCTGGGACACCATTGGCGGAAACACTCTGAAAACTCTCTTTGGGCACTTGGCCAAACGAGGACGGCTGTGTGTGGTAGGCAGCTCCAGCAGTTACCAGGAGTCGGGTTTTACAAAAGTTTCAATTGACGATTGGAATGTCAAGGTTAGTTGGTTAAGAAAAAAACAGCTGACAGAGTTAGTCTGACAAAAAAAATATTGTTTTTGCAGATTTTTGAAGGATCTAAAACTTTGGTTGGTTTTGCGCTTTTTGACTACCCTGAACATTTTGCCGAGTACCTCGCCAAGCTCATCTCAATGATTGCCGATGGCTCCATCAAGGCACAGGTGGATTTAGGTGATAAATCAGAGGGCGGTAAGTTCCGTGGACTAAAAGATATTGCTCGAGCAGAAGAGTACCTGGAAAGGGGTCGCAACCTGGGAAAGGTGATTGTCCAAGTACAAGACCCCTAACTTTTATAATTCAATCTTTAACGTTTTGTTCAATAAAAAAATTCAATAATTGACAGTACTGGTTTTAGTGAATGAGCACATTTAGTCATATCTTGATAGAGCACCAGAAAGTGCCTAATCACCATCCGACGACAGGCATGGAAACCTCTCTCGTTGCCCTGAACGCACTGTTTGGCACATCAGGAGCACATACCGTACCACACATCTGTCCCCAGCACCACCACCACAGTCAAAGACTGTCTTATCTGGTAACTAAGCACAGACGCACAAACATCTACACATTTGCTAAAAACAAGCTAATCATCAGTAGAGAGACAGCAGAAAACAGTTCTAGACTAAAAAATGCACTTAGTACATCGGTCAACTTTTTTTGCCAGTGCACAAAACACCGTGTGATTCCACTGTGTATGTGTGAAATGGAGCCGTTGCGCTTTGTCAAACCCTTCAACAGGTACATTAGGTAGACTCACTTTCAAACGTGCACTTGAGTCAATGAGAGAGAAAGAGAGAGCTGCAGATTAGAATCAGCAGTGAGGCGGAGTTACGATCAATATTCCTCTTTGAGTGATTTTTGTCTCTCCAGACACTTCTCTACCGTCTATTTAAAGCAGCATCCTTCTGTCAAGTTTGTCCACTCGCATTTTTGCCGCAAACAGAACTGTGCCAACTACTTTTCTCAGCTTGAAAACTTCCCTCTCACTTTAAACCACTAAACGATGGCCACCTACCGCAAGCTGCAAGTGTTCACCAAGACGACTGACTTCAAGCAGGCAGTGAAACTGGTGGAGGCGCCTCTCGTGGAGCCCGCCGCTGACCGAATTCGCGTCAAGCAGCTCTACGCTGGAGTTAATGGTAAGTTTAAAGTTTCCCTTCGTTGATCGCAATGATGTACTGACTTTCCACTTCTTCCAACCAGCTACCGACATCAACATCACCGCCGCTCGCTACTTTACCGATGGAAAGCTTCCCTTTGACATCGGCCTCGAAGGCCTGGGCCTGGTGGACGCCATCGGAGCGGACATTCCCGCTGGCAAGTTCAAAGTAGGCCAGGCAGTGCTGGTTTCAGATCGCGCCAACGCGCAGGGCTTCAGCGAGTACGTGTACAAGGCGCCAGAGGCGCTGATCCCCGTGCCCTCCGCCGATCCAAAGTACCTGGTCAGTCTGGTGAACGGCCTGACTGCCGCCATTGCCCTGGACAAGGCTGGCCGCGTGCAGAAGGGCGACAAGGTGCTGGTGACCGCTGCCGCCGGCGGCACCGGTCAGATTGTGGTTCAGTGGGCCAAGCAGAGGGGCGCCTACGTGATCGGGCTGACGTCGACCTCGGCGAAGGCGGAGTACCTGAAGACCATCGGCGCCGACTACGTCATCAACTACCGAGAGCAGGACCTCGACAAGGTGCTCACAGAGCAGTTTCCCGAGGGCGTGGACGTCATTTGGGAGACGATTGGTGGAGCCACCTTCAAGACGCTCTTTAACCACCTGGGAAAGAAGGGCCGAGTCGTCATCATTGGCAGCATTCAGTCCTACAAGGGCGACGGCCTTCGAGGCGTCGAAATTCCCGATCTGAACACACGCCT